CATCGGGGCCTTGTTTTCGTCCCAAGGAAATCGGGGGGGCGGGGGGGGGGGACCTCCTGCGGTTAACCCGCGACATTCCCGGCTGCGGGGCCCGCCGCGTGCGCAAAATTTCCAGCCGGGCCACCGGCCGATTTCGCGCAATTACCGGCCGGGTTCGCCGAATTCCCAGCCAGGTTACCAACCCAAATCGCCGAATTACCGGCAGGGTGCGCGGAGTTACTGGCCGGGCGCGCGGGAATTGACAGCCAAACTACCGGCCGGGTGCGCGGAGCTACAGCCGGGCTGCCGGGCCGGCCGTCTGCGGCGTTCTGTAGCGGCGCTGTAGCTCCGCTACAGAATGCGCTGCAAGGCCAAGCTAAGGGCCGGGCCACCAGCCGGGCTACCGGCCGGGATGCCGGCCGGGCTGGGAATTAACAGCCGGGCTGACAGCTGGGTTACCGGCCGGGCGCGCAATTAACAGCCGGGCTGCCGGCCGGGCTACCGGCCGGGCCGGGTCACCGGCCGGGTTCGTAGTTATCGGCCGGGTTCGTGGAGTTGCCGGCAGGGTTGCCCGCCGCGTTCGCGGACTTACTGGCCGGGCTACCGGCTGGTCACCAGCCGAGCTATTGCCTGAAGGCGTTTGAAGCTAGTAACTGTTAGGCGGAGTTATAACTTAGTTATAACTCATTTATAAAAGTTAGCATGTTGATTTATTTCGGATATCATGATAGTTGTTCGGCTAACATATACTTGATTTGGGGGCGTTCAATGTTGTTTCAATTTCGATGTTGTGTTTATTGCGGGATGTTTTGAAGATGTATTCATTGGTGTGAAGATGTATACTTCTACATCGCAAACGCGTCAGCATTCCAATTTGCGATACTCAACTGGCCAAATGCAAGTGGTTGCATCGCCGAGACGCCTGTTAATCACAGGGTGCCTCAGCGAGTCCAAAGGAATGAGCACGGGATTATTATCTTCGTCTATGGAGTACCTAGAATAGTAATCTGCGCTGTGCACGCGCCGAGTCTGCAATTCCAAGACTAAGCATAGAGGCCCTGAGGGCGCAGTCTCTGTGTCACAATCTACATGGAACCAGACCTGCACGGCTGCATGTCCTGCAGCACGTCCCTCCAAGCATATGTCTCCTCTATGGATCGGCCCGTACTTGGTCCACGCCGTGAGGCTCGATGATGCCGTTTGCGTTTGCGGACGCAACTCCTTCAAGACGCCCATGAGCTTCTTGGTGGCGGCTACGGGGTCGACCAGCGTCGTTGAGATGCCGAAGTGCTCCATGTCGTAACTGTGCTGCGCCGTGAGCTGCATTATCAATGACTTCTCGGGGGTCCTCATGCACAGATGGTCCTTTGCAAACTTCTTGCAAACTTTGTGCTTCCGCTCGTGGACGAAGCAGTTCAAGGGTCCGAATTTGAAGTACATGTCGGCAAGATGAGTTGCCATATGGTGTTTGTAAACCCAATAGTTAGTCCCGTATGTGCGCGTGTGTAGCTCCAAATGCTTCATCACGGCGATATCCAGCTCACGTGCAGTCGCGAGGCCCCTGGACGAGAGAATAACCATATCAATGGCATCGCACAGTGCAAGTAAACTTGCAATATGACCCGAGATGGCGCCTGCATCAGGCAGCTTGGCAATGACTTGCCTGATGAAGTGCGCCAGCACGGGAATCATAGACAGCTCCTGCGATGCGTTTGCTTGTAGTTCGCCCTGTGCGAACACGGCATTGGCGGCATGAAGCTTGTGGGGCCATGTCCAGTTTGAAAGATAGTCGTTGAGATCTTCGGCGCTGCAGAGTTTGCAAACCGCCTTGTTCTCAGTGAAAGCTTTCACTTCTTTAGCTACGATGCCATTGACGCTATAGATGTGCATCCAATCGAAGCAAAGGAGCGACATGACACCGTAGGCGAGGTTGGCGTCCAAGGCAACGTGCGTCGGATGAAAGCTCCAACCCTTTAGCTACGTGATCTCCTTCCACTTGTTGTCGCTAATCTCACCGCGGTCGTGCCTCTCCCAGTCGGGGCGTAGCCTTTCCAAGATGGCAACGATCTGCGCGTCTGTGTTGACGACGCGTTTGCTTCTGTCGAGGCATGCGTCCGATATAAATGTACCAGACGTGTCGTGCGACGCATAGTCGAACTTCTGGTTGAGCACGTTCCTGCAGATGGCACACGGTTTGGTGCCCGCGTGCCCTTTGTTCATGTGGAATTCACGGAGGGCTTCTTCGTCGCCCACAGTGCAGCCCAACCTCGCGATTATAGTCGCGTGCCTTGTGGCATCCCCTGCTTCTGACACGTCCAAGATAACTCCAGTCGTACGAAAGTTCACCCCGCCAGACGTATTGAACATGAGCTCGTTGCACGTCATTGCAACCGACTGCCCGATCCCTCCAGGCATGTCCCTCACTTTGGAAACCCGAGCGGTGCTGAGCACGAGCCATGCGTCTTCGTCCAGCAAAAACTCATCGAACTCTAGAAACGACCAGTATACAACATCCACCCCTCGGTGGTCTTTGCCCTTGGCCAACGGGTCACGCGGTGAGATACCGTCGAAATATAAGCAGATGCGCCATGGGGATGCTAGGGAGCACGGGTGCTTGGCGAGCTGGCGGCGCAACAGATCTCTGAACCCCTTACTCCGTTTCGCCGTCGAGTACAAGTACGGGCCAGGGGCGCACGCCCAGTTCTTGAAGCTCTTACCGCTGTTCAATGGCATATCAATGCCGACAAGCACGTCACCGTACTGGTTCGATTCGGCACCGATTAATTTCTGCCTTGCGCTGCACTGCGCATAACGCGAAATGTTACCTGGTATACCATTATCTCGTACGTACTTGAGAATGTATGTAAGACTCCGCTCAGATACATATGGGCCTCTGTGTAACTCAATCAGTGCTTCGGCGTCTGTCTTGCGACGCTTCGGTGGCCCCGCCGACATGGCTTGAGCCAAAACTGCTACTGAGTGATGGTAGCATGAATGCGATATCTGCAATCGCAACAGAGGATTGTGCGACGGGTGCCCCTCGCATACGATGGAACAACGACTTGCATTTTACATTGCACCATGCAGGCATGCATGAACAATGCACACAAGCGTTATAGCACAGCGAAACAAATCGCGAGAAGTCGCGATCGGCGATGAGCAGAGCAGACAAGCGGCTACGAGCGCTCGTCTATGAACTTCATCGCCTTGGTGAAAGCCTCCTGGCGCGTGCTGCCCGTGTCCCAGCGGATGCGCCTGTCGGACCGCCCCAGGACAGCCCTGTACTGGGACTTGTCTGGCTGCGTGAGTATATACCCCGCGCGGTACTCGATCTTCGGGGCCCCCGTCAGCGGGGCCTTGGGCAGCGGCTTCGGCTTCGCCGTGGGCCTCGGCTTCGCCGAGGGCCTCCGCATGACCACCTTCATGGCCTTCTTCGGCGGGGCGCCCTTCATGACCTTCTTCGGCGGGCCCCCCTCCTCGTCGGCGAGTTCGTCGCCATCGTCGTCGGCGCCCTCGACGCCATCGGCATCGCCCCCAGCAGCTGCTGGACGTTTACTCAGGGCCACGGCCTCCTTACGCTTGCGCATTGTCTTGCGAAGCGCTGCCTCCTCATCAGATAAGTCGCCGAGCGGGGCGGGCATTCCTCCCGCGGCTGGTGGGGCCGCAGGCGGGGGCGCCTCCTGTGGTGAGGGCGCATCTTGCGGTGGCGCTTTGGGCTTCGGCATCATCCCTGGCGGAGGCGACCAAGAGTGTGACGATTGGCCAGGCACCATCCCTGGCGGAGGCACCATTCCTGGATGAGCGTACATATGGTACGCGTTCATCGTCCCGTACATGGATTGGTAGGCGCCGAAGTCGCAAATGGCGGGAGGCGGGGCGGTCGGCGGCGGCGGGGCGGGGCGGTCGTCCCGCACTTGCTTGGCCGCTTGCTTGCCGCCCTTCATCAAGCGACTGCTCAGTCGCACGAAGTCGGGCTCGTCGATGTACCAGTCCTGCCCGCGTGGCGGGCCCCCCTCGGGGTACGCGGTATAGTACCACGATTCGCTCTCGAGGGAGTCTGGAGAATCGTATTCCCATATAGTTCTGTGTTTCCAGTCTCGTGCCTTCATGGTAGCCAGCTTCAGCTTGACCTGCACCAGGATGTCGTACCACATGTCGTTGGTAACGCCAGTGAGTTGGGACGATACCACCGCTGCGAGTTGACCCTTGCTCCCCTCGGACAGAGTGTACATGCCGATCGCATGGGCCCTCTTGCACACCATGGCGATCATCGCCTTCTGCGACATGTCGCCGCTCTTTAACTTGGTCGCCTCAGACGCCGAAAGGAAGCGCGAGAATGCAGTTACCTTCTGCCACTTCTTATCTGCGGTGCTGGTCAGCACACCCGTCTTCTGCCCTACCGCCGTGCAGATTTCTGCAATCTGATCAGGGGACCAGTCTGGGAGCGCATTGTCCCGAATTGTGCCCACCAAGAGCGTGGCGTCGTCAGTGCTGATCGTTCCGAAGGATCGCACTCTCGACAACAGCGACTGCATCTGGTTGTCGGCGCATGTCTTTGCGCCGAGTCCGCAGCCGACTTGGGTATGATGCCAATCAATCATATGATTGAGTTCGGCCAGCACATCACGCATCGACGTCATTGCTGCTACGCAGCAGAAAGCGATATGTAAGTTCGCAAAACTGTTTGAGCCAAACTGGTTACGGAGCCCACGACGATGACGCGTGCACGCTTGGCGATGAGGCAAAGGTCAACAGGGGTGTCGAACAAACCAACAGCGCGAGGGTTGGTAGTCCTCTCGGGGGGGTGGTAGTCCTCTCGGGGGGCGGGGGGGGGGTCAGCCATCGTCGTCGCCGCGGCTGGGCGCAGCTTGACAAACACTGACTTGGATGGGTCCACCCCCTTGCTCGGCATGCTAATCAGATGTAAGGCATGATTGGCGTGACCACTGATCATTTGACGTGGACCATTGCGAATCTGAACACATCATCGCACTTGCGAAGCCTCGCCCGGCACGGCCCCATCAGCGCGGCATGCGCTCTGATTTGATGCTCGCGTGCTGCTCGCACGCGTTCTCCCACTCAGCGTGGGCATCGATGCGATCACCGATCGACTCCATCCACTCGCTCTTGGCCTCCTCCATCTTCTTCTTGGCGGCCTCGAACTTCTTGAACTTCTCGAGAACCTGGGAATCGTGCGCTAAAACAAAACACACATATACAGGGCACAGGCATTCAATGCCACCAAATTCAAATGCAATTGCAATTTCTAGTGCGGCGGCTAATGTCATTGCAATGAGTGTTACGTGTTTTCACACACGAGGCCACCTTCTTCGATGCACACAAGAACTCGGCCTTGCATGCTACCTTGGTGATGTTAGCGTTGGTCAGCCTGACATGTTTGTCCTCCTTCCAGTCCTGGCGAGCCTGGGCATCCATCGCGATCGTCTTGCGGGACTTGCCCATTGCCCCTCCACAACTGAAACGATAACTTGTGCAAAACCTATTGCAACTGAGCCGATAAGCCACACATCCCCCACTCCCCCCTAACAATTGACCCCAGATTTGCAATGGTTGCAACGCTGCCCCGACGAGCTCGATCCAGGCATTGTTTTCTTAGCGCATGGCGCGAAGCGCCCGCCCTCCCCGCGACAGGCACAACTCTTGGGAAACGGTGTTTACACACTCGGACCTAATTGCGTATCCACGCACTCACGCGCCGAAGCCTAAGGCCTTGCGCCCCCGTGCTCTGTACAAGCCCCCTGTGTCGATTACCAGCTTCCTTGCCCGATCGTGCTGCCCATGCAAGTCCACGGCGTGCTCACACGCTTGCAGCCAAGCGTACTCGGCGTCCTCGGCCTTTTTCTTGGCCTTCTCGTACGCCTTGAAGCACTGCATCACCTCACACCGAACGGGCGGGGCATGTCGGATGGTGGGGGGGAGGGGGGGGGGGGGGAATAGGTGTGGCGATAGGCGTCACCGCGCCCGCCGTGAGACGCACAACCAGGCGGGATCACGCCGACAACATCAGACACACCCCACAACCTAGCCCAGAACTATCATATCACGCCGCTCTTCTAGTGTACATACACCGCACCAAACAACAATATCATATCTGCATGCATATGCAAGCGTGTCCCGACAGCGCGCGGCACGGCGACAAGGTCGCCTTGCGGTCCATCTGCTTCGCCTGCTTGAGGCTGTTGGCCTTGTGCTTGATGGCGGTGTCAAGCTGCTGGTTCCTGAACAGTATATCCTCATTGCGATGCAGGGCCCGGAGTGCTTTGATATCTTCATGCATGCGCGGCATTGTGGCTATAGAGAAGAGAGACGGGCGCGATCTGTGCCAGAACGCTGCGACGATGATCGCATCCGTCGACGGTGTGCGATCGCTGTCTGAGCAGCGTGATCTCCACCGCCCCCGTCCTCGTCATCATTGGTATCCTCGTCCTCATCCTCCCCGCCATCCTCCGTATATGTTGGCGCAGAACGGTTATCAGCCCAGCCCACCCACCGTCGACCTCCCCGCCCGAATTGGCGTCAATTGGTGACGGCTCGTCATCGGCTTATGCTGGTGGTGGATCGTGGCGGAGCGGCCGCGTCGAGGATACGGCGGACCGCATGGTTGCTGATATGAACCAGCAGCTCGAGTCGGCTGATGATCATCGCCGTGTGATCGTCTCCGTGGTTGATCGCGCCCTGAAGCAGCGCGATGACTACATCAAATGGCATGAGCAGATTCAGAGCATCGGCGCCACGATCGAAGCTCAGAAGGCCACGATCGAGAGCCAGGCCGCCACTATCGCGAGCCAGGTCGCCACGATCGCGAACATTCGCGAGGGCCAGGGCCGCGTCGCGAACCTTCGCGAGGACCATGAGGGTCGCGATTGCGGGGATGATGGGCGGCGGTGAGACGGCGCAGCCGATGCGGATGATAAGGGCAACGGCGGCGACGGCGACGGCGGCGACGGCGACGGCGGCGGCGGCGGCGGCGACGGCGACGACGACGGCGGCGACGGCGGCGGCGGCGACGGCGGCGACGGCGACGACGTCGGCGGCGACGAAGGCGGCGGACGACGACGACGACTGCGGCGGCGACGACCACGATGCAGGACGACGACGACGACGACGGCGACGACGACGACGGCGACAACGGCGACGGCGACGACGTCGGCGGCGACGAAGGCGGCGGACGACGACGACGACTGCGGCGGCGACGACGACGATGCGGGATGACGACGACGACGACGGCGACGACGACGACGGCGACGACGACGGCGGACGCCGACGACGACGACGGCGAATGCAACGCCTCAGGACACCTCAGGATACCTCAGGACACCTCAGGACACCTCTGAGATGACAACACCAGGGCGCCTCAGGACACCTCAGGGCATCTCTGAGCTGACAACCCCAGGAGACCTCAGGACACCTCGGGACACCTCAGGACACCTCAGGACACCTCAGGATGCTGAGGGGGACGAGGAGGAGGATGGAACTGGAGGAGGCGGAGGCGGATGAGGAGGAAGCAGGAGGAGGAGGAGGGGGAGGGGGAGGCAAAGGATGAGGAGGAGGAGGAGGAATAGGAGGAGGAAGGGATGAGAGGGAGGAGGGGGGAGGTCGATCGTTTCGCCGTCGATCGTGAGCCTCCGAAAAGTGCTCAGAGAAGCGGAGCGATCACGCTGAGCGGGAGCGACGCGTCGCTCAGCGATCGTCCAAAGGCCTCACGACCGATGCGATGAACACCTCTGAAGGTGGACCGAGAAGCGTCGCAGAGGGTACCACTGTCAGACGACACGCGCGTCGTCTTTGAGATTCTCAAAGACGACACGTTGTCGTCTTTGAGATTCTCAAAGACGACGCGCGTGTCGTCTTTGAGATTCTCAAAGACGACACGTTGGTAATATTAAATCTAATAGAGATGTTGTCGTCTTTGAGATTCTCAAAGACGACACGCGTGTCGTCTTTGAGATTCTCAAAGACGGCACGTCGTCTTTGAGATTCTCAAAGACGACACCCGTGTCGTTTGACAGCGGTACCCTCTGCGACGATTCTTAATCCGTATTCGTGGCAGCCCTCAGCTGCTGTGCACCCCCGCAGCTTCGGCGGCAACTCCTGTGCTGAGTCGCCGCCGTGGGAGCCTCAACCCCTTCCGACGGGGCACACCTCGCCGACCACGCGACGACGACGACGACGACAACGCTGACGACGACGACGACGACGACGACGACGACGACGACGACGACGACGTGGTCGCCGACGTGTGCCCCGTGATCACACGGAGCTTGAGCCCGCTGCGGTCGCCGCAGCGTAGTCGGCGACCGCCTTCAGCCACACCTGCGGCTGCGTGCGGCGGCTCCAGGCCGCGTACTTCTGGTCCTGCTCGGACAGGTCGTGCAAGCCCTGCAGGTGCTCCCGCACGGCCAGTGCTTTGGCGAGGCGGATGTGCTTGCCCCCGCGGGGGCGGGGGCCGTCGCCCCCGCCCCCGTCCTTGCCGTCGCCCTTCACGTGGCCGCCGTAGCCGTCCTTCTTGTGGCCGCCGTAGCCGTCCTTCTTGTGGCCGCCGTAGTAGCCGTCGCCCTTGTCGTGGCTGTCGTAGCCGTCGCCCTTCTCGTGGCTGTAGTAGCCGTCGCCCTTCACGTGGCCGCTGTAGCCGTCGCCCTTCACGTGGCCGCTGTAGCCGTCGCCTTTGTGGCCGTAGTAGCCGTCGCCCTTGTCGCGGCCACGCCACTCCTGGCCGTTGTAGCCGTCGCCTTTGTGGCCGTAGTAGTCGTCGCCCTTCACGTGGCTGTAGTAGCCGTCGCCCGTCTCGTGGCCATAGTAGCCGTCGCCCTTCTCGTGGCCATAGTAGCCGTCGCCCTTGTGGCCATAGTAGCCGTCACCCTTCTCGTGGCCATAGTAGCCGTCGCCCTTGCGGCCATAGTAGCCGTCGCCCTTCTCACGGCCGTAGTAGCCGTCCTTGGCCCACCAGCCGTCCTTGCCGTAGTAGCCGCCCTTGGTGTGGCCGCCGTAGTAGCCGTCCTTGTTGTGGCCGTAGTAGTAGCCGTCCTTGTTTTGGCCGCCGTAGTAGCCGTCCTTGGTGTGGCCGTCGTTGCCGTCCTTGGTGTAGTAGCTGTCTTTGCCGCCAACGCCCTCGCTGCTGTCGTCGTAGTCGTAGTAGTGGCGGCTTTTACGGCAACTGCTGTAGTAGCCGTAGCCCTCGGCGTCGCCATCGGCGGTGTAGCTCTCGCCAGCGCTGTCGTCGTAGCCACCGCCCTCAGCGTCGCCACATTCGTACTCATCCGCCATGGCGCCCTCGTAGTCGCCGTCGCCCTCGTCGACCGCGTCGCTGCCGCCCGCGGCGTCGTCGCCACCGCCCTCGGGCTCGTCGACCTCGAACTCGAGAAGGTCCTTCATCGAGTTCATCGTCGGGTGCATGGGCGGCGCGAGGTTGAGCTTCTCGAGCAGCGAGTCCGCCACCGAGCCGCGCCACGTCTGCGCGCGAGCCTGTGCCGACCAGCACATCGCCTTGCGCTTCTTCTCGGCGGAGGCCATGGCGGCCGCCAAGACGTGCTCTGGCGGAGCCGTCCGCGGCGCGGTCGGCCGCTTCTTGGACGTCGGCTGCAGCCGCGACGGCTTCTCCTCCGCCACCTTCTCCCGTCGCTGCTGGATCTCGCTCGCCGCTGCGAGCAACATTGCCACCTCGGTGGCGTCGTCGCCACCGCCGCTCATCTGCAGGGCGAGGCCGCGGCGGGCGTCGGGGGCCCCGCGCGGCGGGGGGGGGCGAGCACCCTGTGGAGGCGCGGGCCCCGCGCCGTGAACCCACGGCCCGCGCGCCGCGGGCGTGGCTGAACACATGGGCCACAACGGCGTCGGAAAGAGAGAGAGAGAGAGAGAGAGAGACGCGGATCTTTATAGTTCCTCGTGCATCTTAGATGCACTCTACACATATACAGACCACACAAAGCTTGCAGTACTGTGCTCACCCGAAAGCCGAAATCCTTAACCTACGAAGCTCTACACTACTGTGCCGTTCGACATCAAACTACGATATTACAAATACCAAACATTATCTCGCCCTAACCGAAGCTAGTCCAACACCCACATCAATAACTCACGGCGTCGCGCGCACATAACAACACAACGGCTGTGGCGAAATAGTTTGCATACGCATAATGTGATTTGTGATGCTGACGCTAACGTCTCTTACATGACATGTACGTTCGAGTCGGTGTGTATCGGTGGTAATGACAGTGGCAATTGTGCGGCCGACGATGTGGCAGATGCGATTGTCACCATAATGAGAATCATGCACAGTTGCGTCACAAGCAAATGTTGCTGAACGCATGTGCAACGATGATGGTTTTCACACCCATGGCGATGGCTGTATCCCCATAAGCAGCACGCCCAACTACGAGCTCGCATATATGGTATGCGAAGTAAACTGCATGCCCCCCATAGATCACGCACAATGTGCCCCCGACCCCATTCCCATTCGAACCCCATGCCAATCATTTGCTCCTGGCCCCCCCAAGTCGGCCACCCCCAAGTCCCCCACCCCGCGACGTTGCCACCCCGCGACGTCGCCTCTGCGGAGCATCCGCATCGCCGTGTTGGGTGTAGGGTTCATGGGGATGGGGTCGGGGCGCTCGTACGTAGCGGCTGGCGCTCACACGCGAGCCCCGCGTAGCCCCCCCGAGGACGGATCGGGCCCCGCACATCCCCCCGTGGTGTCGTCCGAGAGCCGCGCTGCGATGGCGCCAGAGGCCCCTGGCATACTCGCCGCGATGCGGCAGCTTCGCGAGGCGGGCGTCGTCGTCTTAAGTTCGTCGTCGTCGATGTCGTCGCCGCCGCCGTCGCCCCTCCACCTGCCGATAGAAGGCTTTGCTTACGCACGTAAATGCTGCACAAGTGTTGCTAGCACGAGTGGACGATGTGGAGGACGATCTCTTGCTGCGCGGTCAGCAGCACGATCACTTGCTCGCGGAGTTGGGGGAGCAGCAGCGCACGATCGCAGAGCAGCGGCACCAGCGGCAGCAGACGGAGGCAGCGCTACAGCAACAGCAGCAGACGGAGGCAGCGCAGAAGGTCGAGGGGCTGGAGCAGGAGGTGCAGGCCCTCAGGACGAGTTGGCGCTCTATAAGAGGTCGTTCCCAGATGGCTCCTTGTTGGACATTCAGGGGTGAGGGGTGGCGGCGGCACGTCTGCCTGAAGAGCGCATCTAGGATGCGAACGGGCGAGGAGTGGCACGAGGGGGCGTGTAAAACGACGGCGACGAGCCCCCCCCCCTCCCCCTCCTCCCCCCCCCCCGCGGGTGGGAAGGACGACGGG